CCCCAAAACCCCAAAACCCCAAAACCCCAAAACCCCAATTTTCTCAAACATTGCTATTTATTATACAAAATTCGATTCTGTACAATCTCTTAATCATTAAGAAAATAATAAATTCGACCCAAATTGTATAGTAGCACACAACATTTCCTGGTGAAGAGAATTTCTGATTGGAAAATTTACAAGTCTCATGCCCTCTCATCCCAACTTTAACAGGAGTAGTATTGTGGTATTTTGAAGAAATAAATTTTCGAGTCATTCATTTAATAGAGAGTGGATCCTCAGCGAAGTCAGAGAGCTTTGGTTTATATCTTGATGCAGCTCCGATTCATCATACTCCTTTTATACATGGTCTTGCTTAAATCTAATACTGATTTGTGGTTCTAAATAAAGGTTTTAGAATGTTTCGAGTGCTTTAGGAGTTTCACTTAGATAATAATTCAGTTTTCCCCAGAATCGAAAAGGAGGCTTACTTTATGCGGTGACTCTTGATTTCTACTAGAGCATCTTATCTTGGAAGAAGATTTTCTATATCGAATTTAGTATAAATTTGGATATTGACATGTAAAGAGGGTCTATCTAGATAAGGGCACCTACCTTTTAGAGTTTAGAGCTTCTTGAAATATCTGACTATTTTTGATCCAATCGTTTCCATTGAAAGAAGACTCTTGCCAAGATGCTAAAGTTGTTTGTAATTATAATACCTTTAGTCTCTTGAGGAATTTCTAGCCATTTCGGTTTATTCACCTTAGGAGCACTGGTTTTGAGTTCTTCATCAGAGCTGAAGTCTGACTGAGAGCGATTGGAGATAGGTCTACAAAAGGAGGATGTTTTAGAGATCCCTTTGTTTTCTGGCACTAATAAGATATCCTTTGAACTTTCGCAATTTGAAGAGGAGCTTGCTATACAACATTATTAGAAAAATTCAAAAAGTCAGTAGCGAATTAAGAATTAAAAAATACCTTGAAGACTTCTTAAAGGAGGAGATACTTGAGGCAAGGATAGCTAGAGGTTTAGGATATTCAGTTACTGTTGTTGAGAAGTTATCCTTTTTTGAAGCTCAAAGTTGATCATGTGTCATCATTCTTTTTGATATTGGTTTTGAAGGATTTAGCAGAGCAACTAAGTTAGGAAGCATAGAAGGATGACTTCCAGGCTCATTATGATCTGGAAGCATTATAGACTTAGAGCTTTGATATTTTTCAGCATCTTCATTTTTAGTCTTCTTGAAAATGACAAACTAAAGTTACAGGAACTATTTACTTTGTTTCTTTTATTTCTTGTTTTCTTCTTCACTTTAGATTTTTCATCAAGACAGCCCAATTTATAATTTAGTAAGGTTCAGGCATTGTTGTACTCTTTGCTTTTCTCTTTTTCGATAGTTTCAAGAGCCTTCAAATACTTGAGCTTCTGTAGAACAGTGACACTATTCTTAGTGAGTGAGTTATTTTATAACATTCCTGCTCAAATGCTGGCCTAGAAATAGTCACTTTAGTAAAACTCGTAGTCAAATTGTGATGAAAAGTAGCTTACTTTGATGGAGATGATCTCGGCTGAAGAGGCGTCTTCTATTACGAATCACAGCTTTCTCTAGATCTACAGGTCACACACATGACTCTACTCTTATGTTCGATTCTTTTCAATAGTTTGTCCATTTTCGGTTTATCTATTTCAACTTGGTGGTTATTTATAGGGGTTTTGGGGTTTTGGGGTTTTGGGG